AATTTTACGTAGGTTTACGATTTTCTTACGCACCGTAAAAACTTACGAAAGTTTATGCATATATATTTTTGCTGATGATATAGAGGTACCCGGGTACTAAAGTGGGTAATGAAAATACCCGGGGTACACGTGTCCGGATTTTACGGTAATTCTTCATTGGATATAATTTTAAGTTTTTTTGAATAAAGTCAAGTATTCTTGGATTATTTTTTCTCTCTCTAACGCAAATATTAGTTGGATATTGACTCTAACCATATTTTTTTATTTTTACATAAACATCATAATTCTTGCTAAAAATATTTCTACCTTTTTATGAATAAAGTCAAGTATCGTTTGGATTATTTTTTCTCTCTCTAATGCAAATAACATAATTCTTTGTTGGATATTGACTTTAATCATTTTTTTTTTATTTTTATATAAACATCATAACTCTTGCTAAAAATATTTCTACCTTTTTATGAAAGTCAAGTATCACTTGAATTATTTTCACTCTCTATCTAATGCAATAATATAATTCTTCGTTGGATATAATTCTACTTTTTTTTTGAATAAAACCAAGTATCGCTTGGATTATTTTTTCTTTTTCTAACACAAATAACTCAATTCTTCGTTAGATATCGACTCTACCCTTTTTTTTATTTTTACATAAATATTGCTGGATTCAATCCTACACTTTTTATTGTTGGTGAAATGTATTGTTAGTGAATTTTAGTGTCGGTAAAGAGAGCTTGTCTGTAAATTTAACCTGTTCGTAAAACAATTTTTGGTGAATTTTTGTGTTGGTGAAAATTAACTTGTTGGTAAAATGAGCATGTTAGTAAATTAAATTTTGGTAAATTAATCGTCTGTAAAAAAAGCTTGTTGATAAAATGGGTTCGGTAAAATGTAGTGTCTTCGAAGTGATTGTCGGTGAATCAATACGGACCCCAATTTGAGACTCTAACCGTGTATGAAAATTTGGGGTTTATATAAATAAAAGAAATATGAATCTGCCTTTAACTAATCAATCTTTAGATCAAAAGCGAACTTAGTATGATTTATAATATGATGATAACTAAAATGCATACATGAAACTAAGAAAGAACTATAAATTAAAATGATTCAGAAATGGGATCAAGGAAGTTGATGATTGATTGATAATAATGTTTATAATAAATGACTTGATCAAAATATAAGACTTAAATAAATTGGTCTTAAAAACAAAGATCAATATTCTTATGATTGAACATCGATTTCAATAATTCTGATACTTTAATTGATAAATTCTAATTTAATTCAGATATTGATAAAATCAACTGATGCTGGTGATGCCAAAGGTGGCGGGGTGAAATACTTTATATAGTTTCAAATAATACTTTGCTTGAGCAAAAGAACTTCCATACAAAATCACATAACCAAGTTCCAAATACATAAGAAGACCATTATACCGAATTTCGAGTCTTAATAAGCCATATCAAAGTTACAAGTCAATTCAGTCCGTCGAATTAAGTTACGAAAGGGTTTATTAAATTTAAAGTTGAAATTATAGATGATAAGTATTTTATGTTACTACTTATTTTATGTTTTTAAGGACGTGGAACTTCTTTGCCTTTATTAAAACTGAAGGTCTTATATATATTTTAGAATATTACAACATATTCATAGAATTTCCAGCGTTCTTGCTAGATTTTCTGCAAAACCTTTAAAACTTCAGCATGATCGTTGTTTTAATTACGTGTCTGCTATTGGGACCACGTCCTCGTGGTATTTACCGCATAGTTACCATACATTTGATTTTCACATGTCCTCTCCCAAGCCACTTCCATTTTAGTATAACTAATTGAAATGTCTAAAATTAATAATACGTGGGTATTGTTATCAAAATGGAATTGGTGGGTAAAATATTTATATATATAAAATAAGACTAATAACATAAAATAAAAGATAAAGTATAATAAAATGATATATAATTAAATAAAATAAAATAAAAAGATCGAACACAGGATTAAATGAGTACACAGTAACGAATGCAATTCATTACATTTGCCTCCCCATATCATTGAGCCCCTGCGAAATGATTAATCTCAAAATTTCGTTAATTTCTTGCTGGGCTAAGGATTGAGCTTTAATTTGCAATTGGGCAAAGTCTTTCTGGTACAGACATTGAAGGACATATGAAGTAATATGTTGAGCGGTATAAAGGTAGGATGGACCATGAGCTCGATATAAATAATATGTTCAGCGGGAAATCGTTAAGAAATCTTGAAATTTGTATGGAATATTAATTAATCTTGCAACAAGTTTCTTGGCTTCTTGACTCCATGCCTTCTCCTGTAATAAAGATCCCAAAGAAAAGTAATAAGGTAATTGAGCGACCTGTCCAGTTCACTCAGGGCATATAAAAGCACAAACATAGGATATTCTTTCTTCCTAAGTGTTACCGTAAAGCTCTTCTGGATATCGTTCACTGGGCATAGCTTGTCGTAGATCTTCAAGAAATATAGGTATTCTTTAATGCAATCTTTGTGCGGCTATTTTACCTTTTGAGTTTGTTATTAAGAGAGTTTGGGACTGCTGTTCTGTTGCATAAATAACACCATGTGCCGAAACAATATAGGCATCCTGTGACTTTCGCTCTTTCCATTTGGGCCTTTAGTTTAGCCAAGATCTTTTTGATATACATGAGAGTTTGTATTGAAGACATTTTTTTTTTTTTTATAACTTTCAATTTTTTTTTCTTATTTATATAAGCAGAGGAGTCTTCATGACTTTAACTTATTAAGCTAATATAATTGTTGGGATATGAAGAGCATTCACTGAGGATAATAACGCGATAACCGGTTTCTGTGGATTTTGGCCTTTAATACATGACCATTCATTGTTCTTATTTTGTACAACCCAAAAGGTAGTACATTATGAATATAGTAAGGGCCGGTATTGTGGAGTTCCAATTTGGTGCTATATGATATCTGCAAATCATACCTATATAATAAAACTTGATCACCAATTCATATGATTCAATCTGGTTTCTTTCCTCATAATACATTGTTTGCTTAATTTGTCTTTTCGCTATTTTCTTAGAAGCCAGTTGTCATGCTTCTACAAATTCTCCTAAGAGTTTTTCTACTTGCCTTAAAATTTGCTTCTGTAGCTCTTCTTTATTTCCAGATCGGGTTTGAGAAGTAATAAGATTTACTTCAACAGGTAATATAGCAGGACGGCCATACAGGAGATAAAAAGGTTCGTAGCTGGTAGTATGATGACAAGTTGTTCTGTATGTGAATAGTGCTGCTGAAATATACTGGTCCTATTCTTGAGAAAATTGATTCACATATTTATTTAACACCCACAAAGGGTTTTATTAAATCGTTCAATGAGACCGTTTGTTTGTAGATGATATGCTGTAGTATGGTGGGTAATTTCTATTTTCTTACAAAAAGCATCCACTACCTTGTTACAAAAATAGGAGCCTTGATCTGATAATAGTTCTTTGGGGCTTCCATGACGACATATCAGATCTTTAAAAATAAATATAGCAACGTTTTCTGTGTTAGCTACTTCTAACACATAAGCTTCGGGCCACTTGGTAAGATACTCTGTAGCAACGATAATATATTTCTTTTTCGTGGAGGTTACTGGAAGTGGACCTACGATGTCAATACCTATATAGTCAAAAGGGCTTCCAACTTTGATAGGATATAAAAGTTCATGGGTATGGGGCTTCTTTTTTCTCTAGCATGTGTTACAAGTCTTAATATAATTTTTAATATCATTACCCATTTGGGGCTAGTAATAACGGACGGCAATTCTTTGATATGTCGCGTGGAACCCAAAATGCCCGGAAAGAGGATCATCATGTATAGCAAAAAAGATAGACTAGATTTCTTCTTTCTTTAAAGCTCTTTATGAACACAATGGTTTTTGAGGATTATTTTTATATAATATTTCGTCTAACACTAAATAATAACAAGTCTTATTTTTTAAACTTTGGACTTCTTTTAAAGTAAAATTTTTAGAGACTTTTTGGTATAAAAGGTATTAAAGGTAGAGGTTTTAAAGTTGGAATTCTATTTCACTAACCTGGTCTAATTCGTGTCAATTGGGTTTTTCTTTTATTTAGATTAAATATTAAAGAGAAACAAAACTTAAAAATAAGAAAATGGAAAAGCAAGATTGAATGAAGTATGCCAGGACACCGTAACCTAAACTGGATTAACGAATTTAAAGAAGGAAAAGATAAAATTCAAAACAATTTTTGTTTTTATCAGGTTCCAAAAATTTGTTTCTCCAATGATATTTTTAACCCAAAGATGCTTTATCGGCAGTGATTTATAAAATTTGTGACAAGATGTCAACATTGGTGTGATTCTTTCCTGGTTTGTGCACAGTGGTAAAAGAATATTCTATGAGGATCATAACCCATCAGGCAAAACAGTTCTGCGGTAATTTGATTTCAAATAAAGATTTCAAAGCTGAGTAGTCCATGTATAAGATAAAATATTTCATATGTAAGTAGGGTCGAAAATATCCAACGGCCTATACAACGGCAAGGCACTCTTTTTCAGTTATAGGGTAATTCTTTTCGGCGGCAGTTAAACTTCGACTAGCATAATAGATAGCCTGTTCATTTCCTTTTTCATCTTTCTGGGATAAAATAGCACCTAAAGCTATATCCAAGACGTCAGTAAACAAAATAAAAGTTTTAGAAAAATCAGAGTAAGCTAGAATGGGGTGGTGGTAAGTTTTTCTTTTAACATGTCAAAGGCTGTCTGCTGTTGTTCTGTCCATTTGTAACTTATATTTTTTTTTAATAGTTGATTCAATGGGGCTGCTATTTGGGTAAAATCTTGTATAAACTTTCGATAATAGGACACTAGTTCTAAAAATCTTTGTAATTGTCTTAGATTTTTAGGAATGAGAAACTTTTTTACAGCTTCGACCTTTTGAGGATCGGTGGCTATACCCTTCCTACTTACGGTATAGCCTAAAAATTTTATTTGACAGTGCCCAAAGTAACATTTAGAAGACCTTAATTTTAAGCCAGTCTGCTTTAGTCAATTAAAAACCAACCTTAGATGGTGTAAGTGCTCGTCAAAAGTTTTCGAATAAACATTTATATCGTTTAAGTATACAATAACACATTCTTCTATAAAATCTTGAAAGAGATAGTCCATAAGACGTTAAAAGGTAGCAGGGGCATTCGTTAGCCCAAAGAGCATAACGTTAAACATATAAACCCTGAAAGGAGTGGTAAAAGCAGTTTTGATTTTGTCTACTTCCTCTACTTCAACTTGCCAGTACCCACTGGCGAGATCGAGAAAGCTATTCTACAACGACCCACTTAACACATCTAAGAGGTCCTGTATATGAGGTAAGGGGTAGCTGTCCTTTTGTGTTACATAATTAAGATTTTTGTAATCTATACAGAATTTGGTTTGGCCATTCTTTTTTGTACTAATACAACGAGAGACGTTTATAGACTTTTACAGAGTTATATGATATCCTCTTTAATCATTAGTTTAATTTCTTCCTTAATAATTTTCTTTTTTGCAGGAGAATAATAGTAGGGATTCTTCTTACTAGGTAGAGCATTACTCGTGTTAATATGGTGCTTAACAAGGTTAGTATGTCCGGTCTTTTTGCCTTCCCAGGCAAATAAATCTGAATGTCTTTCTAAAAAACTTTGTATCTGCAGATACTGGTCTATATTAAGCTTCCCTACTTGATACGTATTCTTTTTACTTAATTCCTCTTCATAATAATAATCGAATAAATCGCTAATTTCCGTTTTCTCTACCTTAGGGGTTCCTTTAGAAATATAATGACAGAGATCGTTTCTTACTGTATCTTTTTGTAAATAGGTATTCCCGGCTATGTCATAAAAACAATGCACAGTAGCAGGTTTATTCTTTTCTTTTTTTAATCTTAGCTGTTTTCTAGTTTCATCAATATCATCATCAGCGTCGAAATCGTTTTTGGTAAATGTATATTCTTGGGGTTTATTTTCTCATGCCAAACTATACTATTCAAAATTTGAATTAGTTGATTCGTCAAATTCACCTTCAAGAAATATTACAAGTGGGATATCATTGGGAACAGAAATAAAAGGGGATACTAATTTATTTTTCCTAGTAATTTGAAACATATTAGTGGTATAATAAGTTTGGTTTTTAGAAGCACTAGTGGCGTCAATAGAAGGGTCATTTAAACTATTATTATTTTTGTTTTTTAATGGAACCATAGATTCGGGTTGGGTAATATCAGAATTATCAATGTTATCAACGCTAGAAATAAGGACCGGAGAAACTGGCCATGACCCAACAAAATCTGAAGGTTCCAACTTTACTGTGACTTGTATTTGGAGGGGAGTCTTACTACTTGATTCGATTATGTAGTTAGCAGGCCAATCTGCTGGTAGGTCAATTCTATACCTTTGTTTTTTAGTTATTATTATAGCATTTAAAGGTTCAGATGTCTCGGATAAATCAAATAGATTATTTTCATCTTCTATTCCAGAGTAATTATAGATTCAATTTTCTAATTCTTCTTCTTCATATTCATTACTTTCACTTGACTCATATCCAGATTCTTCTTCTTCATCTTCCTTTAGATCTTTAATCTTTACTAGGCGTTTTTTACTCATGTGCTCTGGCGGTAACCTCTTAAATTCAACAAGGACGGTTATTTCTTGGTCATTCCAGGTAAATGTCATTTCATCAGTTGTCCAATCGATTTTGGCTTGCACCTTAGAAAGCTAGTCGTTTCTCACTATTGCATGATAAGAGCTAACATCGGTGACTATGACGTCTATTGGAATTTTAGCTCCAGCAATGGCAAAAGGAAAGGCAGAAATTTCTCCAAGAGCTCGTTTGCTCTCTCCGTATATATTATCATATTAATAGTAGACAGGTATTCGACCTTTATATCTAAATTGTGGAGTAGATAGGAAGTAACAACACTACCAGAAGACCCACTATCAACTATTATAGGAACTTCGACGCCTAGGACGGTGGCGTCACAATATAAAGTAGTTGACTTGCTAGTAGAGGCTATGCTAATATTTACTTTTGTTTTTCTTTTTAGAGTAGTCTTTTTCTTATGCAGACTTTTAATTAATTCAGTCCTCATGGCAGAGATAACACGAAGAAGTTATCCAATCATGATATTGGCCAGTTTATTGTGTAAGTCAGTAATAATAGAATATGGGGCACTAGGGATGATATTTAAGGCATTTCATCCTCAGGAACTTTTCGTCCAATCACCAGAGCGCATTTAGATTTATCTGCGGAAGCTTTAGAAGGATTATCTGTATCCTTTTCTTTATTATTTACTTTTTCTTCTTTTTCTTTTTTTTCTAACAAAGTCTCTAATAATTCTTCTTTACCATTTTCTTTCTGAAGACATTTAGACAGATGTGCCGTAGTTGTCGCCCATGTCCCAATAGCAAAAAGGGAGTGTCCTCTACAACGATATTAAGAAAAAATTGCTGGTTGTTTGTCAAATTTGAATTATTTGAATTTCCTGATTGACTGGATGAAGCAAAACTGGCGGCCATGGCTAATATAGCCTGAAGAGCCTCTTGTTGCTGGTTTTTTGCAGCATTACCCGAAGTGGCACTAACATTATTATTTAGGTTTGAATTAGGAATAGGGTTGGAACTAATAGGTATAGAGGAATGTTGAAGATTTGGATTAGGATATGGGTATACAATAGGATTTAAAGTTTGTTCAGGATTATATGATTGATTTTGGGAAGGATAACCTTGAGGTGTATTAGATAGGGCATTTGGGATATTGGTGGCATGGCAATTACGACTAATATGACCTGCTCTTCTACACTTATAACAGACTACTCTGCTAAAGTTCCCGGCAGTAGATATTCGTCGTTCTTGCAACTGGGTTAGCATTTTGTTAACAGCTTCGGTTAGCTTATCGATAGCTAACTCCGAAGTTGCTACAGGTGAGGTAAATTCAACAGAGACGTTCGGAGTGGTTTGTGAAGAATATAAAGCACTAATAGAGGTAGGTAAAAATGGAAGATTTTGCTTACAGGCACCTTCATAGGCCTTAGCTCTATCATATGCAGCCTGTAATATATTTGGGGTAAATGAGGCAACAGCTAATACTATGTCAGGTCGTAATTCATTCAAGAAAAGTTAGGCTTTAGTGGTTTTTGGGTAGAGTTGAGCCCCAGTCTCTATTCATCAAAGCAATTTATGAATTGCGGTATAATAGGTATTAACGTCTTCTTCTACCTGCTGCTTACAAGTAGCTAATTCAGTAAACTATTTGCTTTCCAAGGCAAGGGTACAGAATTGAATAATAAAATGGGGCAAAAGCTTGTGTTTGGGTGGGCTGGGTCATTCTAGGCATTGATAGGGTTTGGTGGTCGCTACGTGGTTGCCCACCAAGTTGCTGCTACACCCTTTAGATGGGGAACAATTACCGGAATTCAGTGGTTATTAGTTACTAGGTTAGTGGCAAAAGCCTTTTCGACTTTATCGAGCCAAGTTATGGGGTTCTAATCCCTATCCATAAAATCAGGATAAACAACTAAACTTAATTCTTGATTGGGAGGATTATAATTGACTTGTGGGGTCAGAGCTACTTGTATCTGTTGAATTAATAGCCTGATTTGCGTGGCTAAATTATCAACGGGGTTCAATGGTTGCAGCTGCTGTGGCTGTTGAGGTGGTTGTAGTTGCTGAGGCGGTTGAGGTGGCTGCAGCGGGTTAGGAGGCTAAACGAGGTTCGGCTGCTGCGGCTGTGGAGCCAGATTACTTAAAGGGGTCGAGCTAGGTTTACTGTCAGCCGTTGAGTCATTATTATTAATAAGTATTAAATAAATTCCTAATATTAAGGTCTTTTAAAATCTTTAACTAATCTATTTATTTGCAATAGGATGAGATGTTTGTATATGTATCCACACAATCGGCACCAAATGTAATAGTTGTATTGGGAGAGCAAAGCAGTTATAGACAAATAGTGCCAATTTGAGACTCCAACCATGTACGAAAATTTGGGGTTTATATAAATAAAAGAAATATGAATCTGCCTTTAACTATTCAATCTTTAAATCGAAAGCGAACTTAGTATGATTTATAATATGATGATAACTAAAATGCATACATGAAACTAAGAAAGAACTATGAATTAAAATAATTCGGAAATGATATCAAGGAAGTTGATGATTGATTGATAATGATGTTTATAATAAATGACTTGATCGAAATATAAGACTTAAATAAATCGGTCTTAAGAACAAAGATCAATATTCTCATGATTGAACGTCGATTTCAATAATTCTGATACTTTAATTGATAAATTCTAATTTAATTCAAATACTGATAAAATTAACTAATGCTGGTGATGCCAAAGATGGTAGGGTGAAATACTTTACACGGTTTTAAGTAGGGATATCATTAGCTTTACAAAAAGCTGGCTTTAGCCATAGATTTAAGCTAAGCTTAACAAAGCCAAGCTAAACTAAAAGCCTAAGCTATAATCCAAGCTATAGCTTTAAATCATAGCTTAAGCCAGAGTAAAGATGGCTTTAGCCACAGCTTGGTTATTAGCTCTAATTATAGCTTAAACCAGAGTAAAGTTGGCTTTAGCCACAGCTTAGTTATTAGCTCTAATTATGGCTTAAGCTAAAGATAGCTTTAGCTGCAGCTTGATGTTATTGGCTTCAATTATAACTAGAAAAATAGCAATGTTTTGTAGACTGGAGTAGAGATTCAACCACTATAAATTTCATTTTCAAGTTACTCGCCCACATATAAAATCTTTACCTGGGTACAAAACTGGGTTGATAAAAAATTTTTGGGTTACTCGGGTTATTTGGTTAACCCATCACAAAATATCTTAATACTATAATACCGTAATACTATAATAGTCTTTAACAAATAGTGAAAATATTCTTGACCCAAAATGCATTAGTTCTTAGAGATTTAACAAAACTTTCTTTTATTATAATTCAAATATTTGAATCAAATGTCTGGTACTAAAGTGTCATAGGAGGACATTTGTATAATTAGCTGATGTAAATCAATTGCCCAGGTTAATTATTTATAGCATAACGTTTTACCAATAAAAATACAATTTTTTTTCTCATTAGCTTTGCAAAAGCGGAAATATTCACTATGCAAATAATCAGAAAATAATTGAGATCCCGAAGAACTTCACTTAGAAGATAAATTATACTTGCCATTTATTGAACTATATCAAATGAGGCAGTGTTAATCAAAACGTAGCATAGTGAGATTGATTATTTTATGAAAATTGTTACACAAAATGATAAATATTAGGGAATGTTTAATTGTAACATAGCATGATATCAATCAAAATATGAATATTTTTAAGCATTATTAATATTTTTATTATAACAACATATTATGATTAGACATGCTCTAATTTTTTATCATTTCGTGTAACAATTATTGGATCTCACTATGCTACAGTTTGAACGTTTTTGTTTAAGACTACTTTATTATGTTGGATTTTAAATAAATTTTTGTTACTTCTGTTTAATTTGAATAGATATAAGCCCTTTAGTAGTAGAAGACCCAGATTTAATATTTAAATTTGGTCGGTTTTTGTAGTATGTTTGGGTTTGTCAATTATGAATTAAAGTTTAGTTTATAGCTTGTAGATTTTTTAACAAGTGTGGGTTTATTATTAATAAATATTATGTTCACCCACTTTATGTGTGTTTATCTATTCTCTAAATATATATAATAAATTTCTTTCTGCACATTTATAGTTCAGGTTAGACATCAAAATCACTAGTCCCGAGTTGTGGGTTGGTGGGTCGAATCTCTACCCAGAGCATTATTCTACATTTTTGACTCTTACTATTACTTCACTTTAATAGGCCAACATTTCATTTTTTCTTATTTATTTTAACAAATTTCTTCACCTCGTACCAAATAATTAATTTTTAACTCAAATATACATATTTATTTGATTTATGTGGTTGTATAAAAATTTTTTTTATTCTGTGTATTTTAAAAAGTTAGCTGCAAAATTTTATTTTATTTAATTTTATTTAATGTTCTTATTCAATTTGTTTGCTAAAAAATTTTCTTTGACAATGATTTTAAAGTCAGTAGCTATATTTTAAATTAATGTTTCAGTATCCAAAATCAAACCTAATTTTAGGTTTATTTTTTGGATTCCGAACCTAAATCAAGACCAGCTAAACCAGGAACTGGATTTTTTAAAAATTCACAAAGTATAGCTTTAAGGCTTCTACTTCGTTTCTCTCAGCTTCAGCCAATAAGTTAATACCTATAGTGTATTTTAGTAAAGTCTTAAGTATGATCTTAAATACAATTTATAAATAAAGATAGTTATATTAAGGGGTTTCAGAATTAAAAAAAAAAAATAGTAAATTTTAAAAATAAGTAAAAGTTTAAAAAATCTTAGTTGTGTATCAATATTTTGAAATCAGAGTGAGTATTTGGAGAATTCTATTTGACAAAATAAGTAAAAAATTTTTTTTATTATGCAGATCAGAGTAAATAATAAAACTTTTCGCTTAAATTATTACTGAACCTTTGCTCAAATTACTTACTGAACCTTTGCTCAAATTACTTACTGAACCTTCACTCAAATTGTTTACTGAACCTTCGCTCAAATTGCTTACTGAACCTTCGCTCAAATTGCTTACTGAACCATCGCTCAAATTGCTTACTAAACCTTTGCTCAAATTATTTACTGAACCTTCGCTCAAATTGCTTACTGAACCTTCACTCAAATTGCTTACTGAACCTTCACTCAAATTGCTTACTGAACCTTTGCTCAAATTGCTTACTGAACCTTTGCTCAAATTGCTTACTAAATCTTCGCTCAAATTGCTTACTGAACCTTCGCTCAAATTGCTTACTAAACCTTCGCTCAAATTGCTTACTGAACCTTTGCTCAAATTGCTTACTGAACCTTCGCTCAAATTGCTTACTAAACCTTCACTCAAATTGCTTACTGAACCTTCGCTCAAATTGCTTAGTGAACCTTCATTCAAATTGCTTACTAAATCTTCGCTCAAATTGCTTACTGAACCTTCGCTCAAATTGCTTACTGAACCTTCGCTTAAATTGCTTACTGAATCTTCGCTCAAATTACTTACTAAACCTTTGCTCAAATTACTTACTGAACCTTCGCTCAAATTATTTACTGAACCTTCGCTCAAATTGCTTACTAAACCTTCACTCAAATTGCTTACTGAACTTTCACTTAAAGTATTTTTTATATAACTTACTTAAATTATTTTTTTAAATTACTTACTAAAAATATCAATCCAGTTCTATAGCTTGTATTAATTCAAATAGTTTGTCAATTTCTTTATCCAGAACTTTAGTAATAGCTTTATTCATGCTAGTTGAGTATTCATTTATAAGTGTCTTTGTCGATGTGAAATTTTGGGCATGTTAACAATTTATCACTTATTTTAAAATAAAAGCTCCCAAATGAACATTTTGAAACTAATAGTAATGAATAATATTATAAAAAAGCTAGAAAGTACTGTATAAAAATATAGTAAATATCTGTAGAGTTTACAAATAAGATTATAGGCTTCTTTATATATTTTTCCATTAGCTCAGGAGTCATCTAACAAATAGGCTCAAAGTTTTTTAGAATATTTAAAATTTGCTAGCTTTAGTTATAAATTTAGCAATACCTATAACATAATTCAACTAATATATATTTATCTTTGAATTTCTTGTGTGATTTATTAACTTTTTGAATGTTTAAAAAGCTTCGTTAGCAATTACCATAGTAAATGTAGATCTTCATATATATATCATATTCCTAAGTCATGTTTTTATAAATTTAAAATTATCTTTGTCACTAACGGATTCATAGAATTTAATTTTTTACATAATGTATATAGTACGTACAGTATATAAATATAAAATACAGAAATGGTTTAGAGAAGTCACAAGGTTACTATAAATAGCAAATGCAGGTACTGTATGTACAAAATTATTATATAGCAGCAGATAATAGTAGTGATAACAAATTTATTACATAAATATCTTTAATGTTAAGTAAAAATACAATGTTCTTGAGTTATATACAAAAATTAACTATTCCAAAATATTTTGTTCCATCTAGCTTTTCATACAAAGCAAAGCACAAGCAGTTTCAGGATGAAGACGATTTCTAATTTTAGTAATTGTTCCTGCTACAACAGAAAAAGCTTGCTCACATGGAACGCTGGTTCCCTGAATAGCTAGATAGCTATGTGCTATCTTTGCTAAAGTTGGAAACCGATGCCCATTAAGTGTCTACCAATTAAGAGGATCTTCAGAAGATGTAGGCGAGGATAAGTACAGATCTAATTTTTCTAGTGGTGGTTTATCTATTTGCTGTTCTAGTAAAAATTTAAAAAGATCTCTTTTTTTATTTTTAGAAGCAGAGATGACAATATTTGTACTTGTTGCTGCAGAAATTTGTGGCATATATTGAACTATTAAATGACATAAACTTGCAATAGCTGTATCTTTTTTCTCACTATACATGAATGTTGTAAGCTTTGAAAATAGATCAAGAATCATAGCAACAGTAATAGATTCATCAAGAAGTAGCCAATATTCATTTAACTTATATTGTATAGAATCTGCAATCATGTATTCCTTATCTGAATGTGTTTTCTCATTAATAAATTTATCAAGGTGTTGAAGAATTCCTCCGAAGCATAGATGAACATCAGATATTGTTGGGTAAGAACTAGATGAAAACAACTCAGTTGCTTGAAGAATAGGGTAAAGAAGGCTAATAATATTATCAACTTTTTTCTACTCATCCTTGTTAAGAAAAGTAAGTTCGAGTTTATATTTAGTTACAAGAAGGTCGAGTTCTGCATGCATTAATTTAAATCGATATAGCATATCATATGTACTATTCCAACGAGTAGATATATCAATCTTTGGTGTAATATATAACTTATTATTCATTACACAAAAATGCTGAAGGTCATCACACATGATAGTTGAATGATGAATCTTAGTAACAAAATTTCTAACTTTTTCTATTAATGCTGTTTGTAGTTGCATTCCAAGTCCAACTGCGACGTTAAGAATATGAGCAGCGCATCTATAATAGTATTATAAATAAATAAAAGTAAGTATATAAAAAAAATTAGTAGTATGATTTATTTAATATAGAATATTATTAATCAAAATGTACTCTAGTAAGATTAAAAAAATCGTTATAAAAAGTTAATTATAATATGTTAACTAGAACAATTTAGTATAATAATTTTTTAGTTTTACTATGGTATGTTTTGATTAATAATATCTCATATATTATACAAACCTATAGTGCTTAAACTCAAATTTATTCCATTCTTTTTCTAATAAATCACCACATAAAATTATTGCCGCATGATTATCTGTTGTTAATGCGATAATCTTATCATTAATTTTCATATTATTGCAAAGTTGAGTAAGCTTTTCTTTTGTATATGTACTAGTATATCTTGATTCAAAATGAATTAAATCTAGCAAAAGTTGTTTCATTTCCCATTTATTATTAATATAATATGCTGTGACTCCAAGATAAGCTTGATTCGAATATGAAGTCCAAATATCTGCTGTAAGAGCGATTTTATTATTTAAAGCACTAAGCTTTTCTGCAACTAGTATTCTTTGATCTTTGAATTAAAACATTATTCTCTCCTTTATATAGATACGTGTTGGTGAAACATATCATGAGTCAAGAGTACTTATTATTTTACAAAACCAAGAACTTTCGATGATTTTAAATAGGGCTTGATTACCAATAATGAAATTTAAAATAGATATAGTGCATTCCTCTATACATTGAGTATTATTATTACCATATAGCTTTTTAGATAATGACTTATGTTTTTGGTTTAAAATAATGTTACAATTATGTTGCTTATTAAGGTGATCTGCTAGAACATTTGTTGATGTTTTAACACTATATTCTAGAGGACAATAATCACATCCAACAACAGTAGTTCCATCTGAATTTACTTTTTCATGCATGAAATTCCAAACAGGTGACAGTTTTTTACTAGCATCATGTCTAATCGTTTGAGATAACAAAGTAACAGTGTTTGCAAGTTCAAAGATTTCTTCATTATTAGTGTTATTTGAGTCAGATTCTGTACCAGATGGATTAAATTCTTCATCAGTTAAGTTCTCAATGGTATCCATTAGATTATAATATTTCATAAAATTTTTTTTGATGGTTTAAGTTATATATTTATACTTTTTTTAATTCTTTAAATTATTTATTTAACTCGATTACTAATTTTGCTCAATATTTTTTTTTACTTTTAAGTTGATTATTAATTTAGTTATTTTTACTTCATAGTTATTTTTTTTTAATTTGTCGATTATTGGTACTATTATGGCCTTGTTATAGTATTACTAAAATTTTAATTTATTTTGCAGTACTTGTTAATTAATACAATTACATCCTTATTACAATATTAATGAAAATAATAATATACATCAGATAATAATAGTATACTGTCAAAACGATTGATATTTGAGTTATAGAAAAGAAAAGTTTAGTTTATATAATAAGCTTTTATCATTGGATAAGAAAATTTGAATTTTATTCAACATTATTTGCTTATCCAATATTATTATATAACTTCACAGACATGTTTGTGAAGTCATGTAATATTATTGAATGGGTAGCTCAAAAGACATTGAATAGTATTTGAATTTTTAATTAATTGAAAGTATTTTTAATTGATCATTATTAAGATAAATAAAAGTAGTTTATTATAGTGTTGGCCGATAATCTATGTTATAGCATTTTTTTCTATATAAATTTGGTGGTCATAGTACGAATCTAGTATAACCATCATGATCAGCTATATATAGAGTTAAATTAATTACTTACCAACTATAATTTTAATGATACAATGTAGTTGTAATTAATAATGAATTAATAACGATGATGTTAGCTTATATATTGTAATTCAATAATAATTTCATTGAAATTTTCTTACCAAATATTTTATTAATAGAATTTAATTATTCAGCCAATCAAATTCAAAACAAATATTCATAATAAACCAAATTAATTAGTTTGAAATCAATAAAGAAACATGATTAAATGCTTAACCTATTTAAATATAGGCAAAAAATGAAAATGTTAAAAACAAAATATAAATAATATTTATAAAATATAAGAAAGTACAATAGAATCTAAAGATATTCAAAGATGTAATTTATAAAGAATTATATATAATATGGAAAAAGAAAATTTATGAATAGATCTTAATGCAATTATAAATTTTTAAAAGTGAATAGATTAATTAGATTATATGCAAACCTAATAGTAATTGAAATTGTAAGGCTTTGTAAGAAAGGTGCTAAATACTTTTATGTTTACTATAAAAAGCATTATATCAAATAAAAAAAAAACAACATTCACTTATTGGTACAATTGCCATTAAGAGTAGTGATGAGAAAAATTGAATTTTATAATAATATGTATATGTTATATTTTCTCTTCAGAAAATATCAGATACTTGCTCAAATTTTACTGCTTTTTTATGTTTATTTATTTTCTTTTCGGAATTAACAAGATGGCAAAGAAAAATCAAAGCCAAAGAAAAATCGAAGCCAAAGAAAAATTGAAGCCAAAGAAAAATTGAAGCCAAAGAAAAATTGAAGAGAAGGGAAAATTGATGCAGAAGAAAAATAGGAAAGAGTGCTTATTTTTTTTTTTAAGTCTTTTTTATTTTCCTTTAACTTTGAGCGAAGATATCTCGATAACTACCTGGCCAAATTCAATAAAAACAGTTTTATATGAATTCTATGAATCCGTAGAATTCAAATAAAAAAAAGTTTCATTAAATTTAATCAGGTGGTTGTCGAGATATCTTTGCTCAAAGTTAAAAAAATTAGCCACAGCTTTATTTTGATAGGCGTTTTGATTTTTCTCTAACTTTAAGCGAAGATATCTCAATAACCACTTGACCAAATTCGATAAACCTTTTTTTATTTGAATTATATTAATACATAGAATTTAAATAAAAAAGGTTTCGTTGAATTTGGTCAAGTGGTTATTGAAATATCTTCACTTAAAGTTAGAGAAAAATCAAAACACCTATCAAAATAAAGCTGCATCTAATTTTTTTTTTAACTTTGAGCAAAGTTATCTTGACAACTGCCTGATCAAATTCAATGAACTTTTTTTATTTGAATTCTATGGATTAATAGAATTCATATAAAATATTTCATCGAGTTTGGCCAGGTAGTTATTGAGATATCTTCGCTCAAAGTTAAAGGAAAATCAAAAATAAATGCTGTGCCAAATATTTCAAATAGTGCTAGTAATGCAATAAAATCGTACAATATTAAGCTGTAGCTAAACTAGCTTAAGCTATAGCTAAACTAGCTTAAGCCATGGCTTAAACTTTAGCTTAAGCTATGGTTTGATTAATTTAAATCATGGCTTATATTATATCTTGGCTTTAAGCTAAGCTATTTTAATAGCTATGGCTTAGATTATAGCTACTAAAACTATGGCTTAAGCTTTGGCTACAACTTTAAGAGCCAAGCCAAGCTAGCCAAGCCAATTACATCCCTAGTTTCAAATAATACTTTGCTGAGCAAAAGAACTTCTGTGCAAAATCACGTGACAAAGTTCCAAATACGTAAGAAGACTGTTACACTGAATTTTGAGTCTTAATAAGCCGTATCAAAGTTACAAGTCAATTCAGTCTGTCGAATTGAGTTACAAAAGAGTTTATTAAATTTAAAGTCGAAATTATAGACGATAAGTATTTTATGTTACTACTTATTTTATGTTTTTAAAGACGTGGAACTTCTTTGTCTTTATTAAAACTAAAGGTCTTATATACATTTTAGAATATTACAACGCATTCGCAGAATTTTCAGCGTTCTCGCTAGATTTTCTACAAAACCTTTAAAACTTCAGCATGATTGTTGTTTTAATTATGCATCTGCTGTTGGGACCGCGTCCTTCAGTATTAACCGCGTAGTTATCATAAATTTGATTTTCACACATCTCCTCCCAAACTACTTCCATTTTAGTATAACTAATTAAAATGTCTAAAATTAATAATATGCGGGTATTGTTATCAAAATAGAATTGGTGGGATAAAATATTTACATATATGAAATAAGACTAATAACATAAAATAAAAGATAAAGTATAATAAAATGATATATAATAAAATAAAATAAAATAAAAAGATCGAACACGGGATTAAATGAGTACACAGTAACGAATGCAATTCGTTACAATAGTTTAAAAAAATAAATTTTAACTTTGAGACATCTTACCTATATATTTGACTTTAAGTCCATCTATGCTTAAAAATGATAATTCAAGGTCCCATCCGGTTAGTAAAATAGCATCTTTATATAATTTTAATTCGTTCATCAGATTAAATATCTTATAAAATTTTTTTTCTTAATTATAAAAGAAATTTTGTGTATAACGATAACCTACATACATACATAGCTCTAAACGTAAAGACATAATATCTCTAAATTGTTATTAGCGTATATATTGATACTAATATAGTATTTTAAGCCCTTAAACAACACTCTTAAAATCGTGAAATATTGATTTGCCAAATTACGATTTATTGCTTGATTATCATTATTTTACGAGTGAAAAAAATAGTTAAATGAGGGAGATATTTAAAAGCAGTGTAGATTCTTATTGAATCAAATTTAGGATTAGGGTCACTTTAGCCTACAGTTAGGTTAGGATTCAAGGTGTTCTTATATAAGCAAAATTGCTTCTAATTAATACATCAAAGGTAGGTTCAGACCAGTGTTAGAAATCTTATGTTCTCATACTTTTAGATTTGAGAATATTTGATATTCTATAATTGTTCTCTATGAAAAAAAATTTGAGAATATAATACTCGAAAATACTGTATGTTCTCTATATATAAATATAATAGTATAATGCCAGATGGAAATAAATAGGAATTGAACAAAGTTCTGAATAATCTGAAAAGAAAATGAATGAACAAAAGATGAGAAGAGTTAGAACAAAAATTTGAATAAATAACTGATATTTTTTGAAATAAGAAATTCAAAAAAATAGGGATATAAATAAGTTTTATTGTTGAGAACATAAATTTCTGAGAACATTAAATTTGTTCTTATAAGAACATAAATCTCAAAACAGATTTCCAACACTGAACTATAGTTGTTAAACGAGTGAGGTTTCATGTTAACAAAATGCAAATCCTAGTTTTGTCTTTCGCCAACTAAAATCTTAAAGAAAAATGACGAAACTGACGAAGAAACTGACAAAGCTACAAAGGGTGACAAAACTAATAAAAGATGAAGGTACAGATAACTATTTTTAAACTTATTGAAGATATGTGAATAAAAAAATAAAAACAGTAAGTTAATATCTCTTAAATTCTGATTTAATGATTAAATCCGCTATTTTCATAATTCCTGGAACACCTGATAAAATTTGCCAATTAATTTTTCGCCCAATTCGGTTAAGTTAATAATTTCGGAATGATCAGTATATAAAAAATATATATTTTTATATAATTTTATCATTATAATATCGATATATTCAACGTTATTAAAGTTTTATTTGAATACTTTTCTGACATATTTAGTATAGAAACTTATAAAAAAGATTATTTTTGTTAGCCGATAAATCTTAACAATGAATATAAAAGAACGAATATAAATTTATAAAATAAAAAATTATATAAAATACTTTCTTATGTGTATATCTGATATCTAAGTCAGTGTATACCTTTTAAATTGTTATGTGACTAATTTTATATTCCAATTAAAGTAGCTCATGAAATATCAGACAGGTTTTTCTTTCGTTAAGGTTTTAAGATATTTTATATCATTCGTCTTTTAGTGAACATGGTTTTCTTGAAAGTGAAGTTTTTCAATATTTTTGAAAGTGCTTTGGAACCCGACTTATAGGAACTTGCTAATATCTAAGTATTTGGCAATTTTTTCAAACTGATAAGCCTTCTAAATTTTTTCAACTATTTGCCAACGAAGATGGTTTGAAAGTTTTATATTTTTGTATTCAAGCATATCAATATATAGTTTTATAATACTGTAATATTTATGATATTCACTTGATCTTAAATTACGTATATCTGATATCTGTTATTGAATCTTTTATTCCTGAGAAAAATCATTCAGCAAATTTTATCAGGTAT